ACAACTGGGATATCTAGAAAGTTGTATTATTATTTATTTCCGTGACTAAAAGGAATAAGGACGTTAAAAAATCAACTGTCCGTTTGTCATATGAATTTAGAAATATCAGCCATGGCGGCGATTTTAAAACCAGCGCACCTATTTTAGCTTGACGCTGGCGATCAAATTTTCCTTTCACTGAGCGGTCCAAGTCAGAAGCGTATCTCGACTTTCAGTGCACCGTGAGAGTAAAATAATTTTTTTGGCAAGTATGCTGACAATGTGTATAGAAATGGATAACAATTTTTTCTGGCTTTTTAGAGAGTGCCAGATTCATATTTCAAAAAAACATTTTATCTGGGGAAAAATGAGTGAATTTGTTTTTATCCAAATTTACTTCAGCACACAGTAATATTAGCGGTTGCAATAATAACTATCATATACATAGCGGTTTTAGTTCCATCTATCGTTCTGGCTTTTAATTGTTCGAGTGACCATCGAGTAATCAAGATTTGTTTGTTTTTTACACATCAATATGATGATGAGAAAAACAACAAGTATGGTATGAGCACAGATAGAAATAATGTGCTTATTTCGTTCACTTTTTCATTTAATTTTTGAAGGAAATAAATACATTGATGAAAGTCCTGTAATTGGATCCATTACATCCAATTATTCTTGTTCAACGCAAGGATTAAATAGAATCTGGTTTCATATTTTCCTTTTATGGGGTCGTATCACGAAAAAACTTAAGTCAAAGTGTAGACTTAGGTCAGACTTAAGTGTATAAAATTAGCACGTAAGTGCACATAACGAAAACTTAAATCTGACTTAAGTCCAAATTTGACTTAAGTCAGACTTAAGTTTTTTTGTGATACGACTTCATGGTCTGTTAGAATTACCAAGATATTAATTTACTATTCGACATCATGCATAGCGCTGCTTTTGAAAATATATATGAGGTTTTTTCACCATAGCTGAGACTCTACTGAGAAGTTCCGTGAAATGCCAGTTTAAACAGGGTTTAATTGAAAGTCCGGAAGAAATTCACCGCTTTGTTTTATCGCGGCACATAGTATATAAGAATCACTGATTTTCATAAAATTCTTAGAGTTTTTGTCGCATAAGTGATTGATTATCAAAAGATCGGCTTATAATACTCTCAATATTCACTTGACCAGAATCATAAAATGCCAAAACGTTAATTGAAAACTCTGTGAAAACCTAAAAAACTGTCAAGGAAAAAGATCCTGCAGCAACCCGTGACGGAATTGTTGATTAGGGTATAAATCATAAAAAAGGAAAACAAGAAACAAAATCTCATTTAATCTTTGCTTAAATCCAAATCCATTTTTCAAAAATGAAAAGTGCTCGAAATCATAAACGGTGAAGGCAGCAGGCTCAATAAGCTTGGGTGTCTCTCATTTTTTAGGGATCTACTAGGTAGACCTCAAAAGTCGCTTATTTTCGATGTTCAAAATTCCCAGATTCTACTGAACATTTACTTCAGACTTAACCAGTTTCCTTGACCTATCTGAAACTAGTGCTGGTGCTAGGATCGATAAAACTTGTGTCTTTTTTTTCTTCTTCTGTTTATTCCTGTTATTTCTTTTTCTCTATTTCATTTTTGTAGTTTGGCTCGAGTTATTGATATTAAAGGTCTGGGACTTTTGATGACTCTCACTTTCGTGAATAAACTAAATTAGTCTTAACTAAATAAAACGGTGTCTGGCTTGAAAAAACATGATTAAAATTCACCAGTTAAAAAATTTGCCATTTTTCTAGATTTTTAGCAAAGCTTTACCAAGTCTGTCATATTTTTATTTAGTTTTATTGATAGTAGCACTAGTTTCAGATAGGACAATTAAAGGAAACTGGTTAAGTCTGAAGTAAAAAGCTCAGAAGAGTCTGGCAATTTGGAATATCGCAAATAAGCGACTTTTGAGGTCAAATCCTGAGATCTAGTGCATCCGCCGTAATCATTTTGACCAAAATGTCTGCGTTTGCTGTAGCAATGATGGTTTTATTCGGATTTTGTTTCTTTCTCCGTGAGCGACAAGTAGTCTTGAAAAAAGTTGAACTGGATTGTATACTAGTTTGTGTTTGTTTTTGTTTAAGTATGCAGATGTCTTACTTCAGATTGATATCTCCATTGTCAAAATTAAATCTATTTTTTATAACTCAGTATAGAAAAGCACAATACGGGCAAGTTCTTTCTATCATGGATATTATTGAACAAAAAGCAGCATTAGCCGACAGTCGAATTAAGAAATTGAAATATTTAATCGATAATATCAGTAAGAGTAAGTATCTTTAGATCTTTGCTTTGTAAAATTACATTTGATTTCGAATTTTATTTCTCCTTCAGAAGAAACACTTAAACCAAACTCTTATATCGATATATTACAGGAAGAAAATAACCGATTAAAAACTCAAGTACAAAAACTTCTTCACGAAACAGTATCGCTTGAAGAACAACAAGGCAGTATGTGTTATTAATGCAAGAGAAGTGATTTGGTTTTAATTTTACTTCTTTAGTCATCCAATGCTACGATTTTATTCAGAAAAGACCAAAAATAAATTTGATTGAAGCATATCAACATGGAGAAGAAAAATTTGATATTGCAGGAGCAGTAGTAGCATCTACAGAAACTGTGACCTCATTGGAAACCAAAAATGAAACTCCACAAGAAACTTCAACTGCAGCTACGAATCAAAATCTGTCCGATACTGGAAAGAAATCGAAGAAAAAAGCAAAAGATGAAATGAAGAAAGATCAAGGTAATCCTTTATGTATTTGTTATTATTTTGCCTTTAAAGAATAGTACTTAATGAACTTCAAAGTTAGGAATTGCCGTGAAGTTGTACTACTATTTTACTCAAGAGAAAGACTGAAAATCTGTAAACGAAAAATAAAAAGATTTTTGATATAATTTCGTAGTATTTATAATAATGAACGTTTTTCGAATTTTAGAAAAGGCAAAAGTACCTGTTAATACAGCTATTGACATCACTCGTTTTGATTTAAGAGTTGGAAAAATACTTTCTGTTCAAAAACATCCTGACGCAGATTCACTGTACGTTGAATCCATTGATATAGGAGAAGAAAAACCAAGGACGGTAAGACTTTCAATTCTTTGATGTTAACCATTGATACACAATAGATGTTTTGTGGCCACAACGACTAGAAAATCTATACAAACAATTTTTTGTCGATAAAGAAAAGTGCTAAAAAGTTATTTTCACACAGCTGGATGGAGGAAAGTCTAGACTACATTTTGTGATTAACTGAAATTTTTCAAAGTTAAGTTTATCATGTTTAAAATCTAACTTTTTAATATGAATTATCTTTTTAGGCTTCTACAGTCAGGATATGATCACTTTTCACTAAGTTTGAGGCTTCCCGGATATCTAAGCGCGTTTATCTTATGTAAAAACAAAGAGCAAGCAGAGTTTAGCTGCTCGAAAAACATCTAAAACTTTAGTCATTACATCCTTACTTTTGATGGCTAAAAAAGTTATTTTTAACTTACCCATTGTATGAGTTTTCGTTTCTATATGTAGGTCTGTAGTGGTTTAGTTAATTATATGTCTTTGGCAGATCTCGATCAAAAATTAGTTATCGTTTTATGCAATCTGAAACCAGCAAAAATGCGTGGGATTTTTTCTGAAGCCATGATTATGTGTGCTTCAACAACTGAAAAAGTGGAATTATTGGAGCCGCCATCAACTGCCTCACCCGGTGATCGTGTTATTTGTGAAGGTTACAACTGTTCTACGCCTGATCAACAAATAAAAAAAGAATTATGTGATCAAATATTACCAGATATGAAGACTAATACAAATTTAGAAGCAACGTTTAAAAATGCGTTGTGGCAAATGGAAAATGGAAAAGGTAGAATTAAATCTAAAACACTCGCTGGAGTATCAATTAAATAGAATCAACAGTACTGTGTAGCAATATAAAAAAGTTGTCTGCTAAAGTTTCTTTGTTATTTTTATTGTTGCTGTTAAGTTTCTTTGTTTTTTAATAAAGATTCACTCGGTATGATAAATCGATGAATATGTTCAACTCTATTTGTTCACTCATTCCGTAAAATACCATGTCAACTCGTATTGCTAGTTGACATGGTATATTACGTACTTGTATTGCCATACTGATTCAAGACAAGCGCAACATTCTTCCAACACTTCAGTTGCATTTGTCATAGAGCATCCAAAATCAATAGTGGCATCGCTCGAATCATTTTCAAGCATCCGGGCATTATAATAAATAAACAATCGACAAACATCTTCATTCCTTCCTATGTGTTTTATACATAGATACTCACAGCGCTTAGAAAGAGCAGTAAGGAAACGCTAATAATGCACATAAAACTTGTATAATCCGTTGTCAACTTACCGGCAAGAGCATTACCTGCACTATAAGAAAGAACGAAATATAGTTTCAAGTGGAAAAGTAGTATATTGAAGACAAAAACACTTACCCACTACCAATTTGAGATTGATCTTCGACTGTCATCTTCGATCGTAGATTGACTTTACTTGATAAGGGGCCTATTTTAATTTGCCAAATCTTTTCTTTAGATTTGCTTCCAATGGAAGTATCAGGGGATTTCGATTGCTCCTAGAGATGGGAGATGCTAAAAATTTTGCTTCGCAGAAAGTGGTTGGCAAAAAAACGTTTTCGAAATTTTTGGCAGAAAGTTGCTTCTGGAAAAACGTCAGAGATTTTGCCGGAACCTATATTGAGAATCTATGATAACTATTTTTTTCGATTTCTACGTGTAACGTTTTTATTAACATTTACATTAACTAATTTTATATATAGTTTCTTTTTCAAGTACAAAAAAATAATACAAGAATAGACAAAAATATCAAATTTATGAAAATAAATTGAAAAAGTACAAAAATATCTGACAGAGACAAAAGCATATCTGAGCGTTTAGAGTTCACAAATGAGAATTTCTCATGCATAAAGAAATATCTGACAAATAGAATTTTATGTTATATCTGAGTTATTAGCGTACACGAATAAGAACTTTTCGTTGCATTCGATATTGAATATCACCTCGTCTCACCTAAAATTAGTCACATACATATATTACAATAACTGTGTAAAAAAGTTCAAAGGAATACTTACCATAGCATGAAGTACTTTATAAATTCCTCGTTCAGAATAATTCTAGAAAAAAAGAAAGAACGTTGCTATAAAACTGATAATAAAGATAAAAGGCCTATACGATTCTGGTTATCAAAACCTAACGTTTTATGCAGAGATGACCATCTCTGGCTACCTTCAACTTCAACTGCGAGGATCCCAATTCCAACTCTGGATTTACGTAAGTTCAATTCGGCAGAAGTCTTTTGACTTCTCTACCATTTATTTTATTACAATCTCGTGATTTTGTTGCTTTAGAAGAAATATATTAGTAGAACGTTTCGGTCTGGTATAATGAAGAAAAAAAAGTGAAAAATTTTCGGAGTTCGGACAGTTTTGAAGCACAGCCACGCAGCGGCGTAACCAGGATTTTTAGACCAATGGGCAAACTTCTACTGTGTCAAAAAAAAACGAAGGGCAAAATGGACAAGATTTTTGTTGGTGGGCCAAAACATTTGTGGTCCAACAAGAACACAAAAAAATGAAATGAGGTTTTTTTAATCAAAGAGATGCATCAAACTCAAATTTTTACTATCTACAAACTCAAATACATTTACTATCTAATTCAAAAATAAACAAATAATTCTGTCTATACGCACTCTTACATATATCTTACTAAACGTTATACGAAAAAAACTTCATGCGGATATCTCCCAAGTAAAATTTCAATGGGCAAAAACTTACTAATAAAAATTACAATGGGCAAATCTCCAAATGAAATGGGCAATTGCCCATTTGTCCCCCTCCCCCTTGGATACGCCGCTGCAGCCACCGAATTGGAGCTGAGAAAAATTTAGAATCAACTTAACTCTTATAAAACTACAACTTTAACTGTGCTAAAACAAATCCTCAACTTCGAAGTCGGAATTGGAGTTGCCCATGGTTTTATGACGAAATTTTACCATCCCCCATTATTAATATCAAGTAAGTAACGCTTATACTAGGCTCTAGAAAAGAACGTGCAAGTTTTCAATAAATATTTATTTTCCTACTTGTTTGATAAAATCTTGAACAATAGCATGTTCAGATACTTGTGAACCAACGACGAATCTTCGACGAACTTGTTTTTCAATTCGACTAATTTCTTCTTGATCTTCACGTGTTGTAAAACCTTCTATACCTAGAAAAAATGATGAAGAAGCATAAATAATTTGATTTACTAGTAATTAGTTCATATTTATCTTACCAGCTAAATTACCACTACCAGCAGATGATAACGTTGACACATGAAATAATCGCAATGCTTCATCAACATCAGTCTCATTTGCAAATGGAGATAAACGCATTTTAGCCAAACTTTCAGCTATACGAACCAATGCTTCTAACTGTCTAAAGGATCACAACAAATAACTCTACGCTGTACCTAAGTTAATTTCAACTTTCAAGCATACCGAACTGTAATTGGTATCGCTGTCTTGTGTCCAACTTCTTTTTCGTAAATATTTGCACCATTACGCATAACAACATATTGATTACGAAGCTTTTCTGATGCACTTTCGGACAAACGAGGTCCACATTTGCTAAAACAGGAACACATCAAGCGATTAAAAAACCATAAACAAAAGGATTTGAAACTGACCTTCGACAATATGCTATATACTTCTTCAATTTAGCCACGCTCATATCACCATCTGCATCATCCGATGTTAGAATATTCATATGTATTTTCAGAACGTGTTTAGCTAAAGTCTAAATAAAATAAATATAAATAATCTTGAAGGTTTCGTCTTAATATCATTGGCTTACTGTATCGCGTTGTTCATTGTGTTCATCTTTAATAATAAATATCATATCAAAACGTGAGAGTATTGTAGGCATAAAATCAAGATTATCATCTCCTTTTAAATCGTCCCATCTGCCATAAATACTGTTTGCTGCAGCTAATATTGAACATCTTGAATTCAATGTTGTCGTTATGCCAGCCTAAACAAAACAAGTTTGGATAATGAACAGATACCTGTATAATTCTATGATCCTTAGTCAAGCTTTTTTTATTGTATATATTGTATTTGTTATTGATGATTAATTTTTTAGAAACTTTTGTACGCTGGAAGGAATAAAGTCTTCTGGACAAGAGTTTTTGAATCATATCTTTGCATCTTTTTGAAAATATATTTTAGTTTTCTGTATTTACATACTTTTGCGATCGAGATTGTTTGTTGTTCCATTGCTTCGTGTATTGCAACCCGATCATCTTCTCTCATTTTATCAAATTCATCAATACAAACAATACCACCGTCAGCCAACACCATTGCACCGCCTAAAAAAATATTTATTTTGTTTTAGAAATGTATTTAAAAAAAATATGCTTTTAAATAAGCCATTTCAGAAAATCTATCTACCTTCTATAACAAAATTTCTGGAAGTTGGATCACGCATCACTGATGCTGTGAGACCAGCCGCACTAGATCCTTTACCAGATGTGTAAACCTATACGATGAAAAACAAACTTGAAACTATTCGTTTTTTACTCTTATCTTGGTCACTTACACCTATTGGTGAAACTTTTTCAGCAAATTTCAAAAGTTGAGATTTTGCTGTTCCTGGATCACCAATTAAAAGCACATTAACATCGCCACGTCGAAATAAACCGTCAGGCAAGCTAAAAAAGGTCAAATAGAGTGATACTTCTTGCAAACTTAAAGATAATTGAATTTTTTGTACAAACCGTTTCCTCGAGCCACCAAATAATAAACATGCAACAGCTTTTTTTAAATCTGTTGCACCATATATTGATGGTGCGATGCTACTTGAGATTGTTTCATACACATCTCCTGATTGTGAAAAACGGATGAATTCTTCTTCTTCTGCTCTTGATAACGATTGAACGGATGATCGACCGGCACCATCTGTATCGATTTTTATTCCTAGCACACGAACATATGGTTGGCGTGTACCAATATTCGAACGTTCTCGACCTTTGCCCTAATATGCGAAAAAACAGCGTTGAAGTACGGAGTAGATTGATCTTCATTCTTGTCATACTTTTCCGGCCATATTGTTTCGTTTGATACAATAAATTCCAACTAACGTAATTTTATTGCCTGGTAAAGCACGATCGACCAAATATCTAGAAAAAACAAAACATAATAAAATTGATCTCTTTATTGTGCAAATAAATTACCTGTCACAATAAAGTTGTATATGCTTCGGCAGTTCACCATGCGGAACATTTTCTGGTACCTCCTGTAATTTTAATATTTGAAAATCAATACACTGACATTTATCCGGCATAACGAAGTACGGATCGATTGGACAATTTGGTTGACCAGGCTGATTTCTAAATGATATGAGACAATCAGTATGAGATTAAAATTTTTGAAAAAAGTTAAAACGTACGTATTGCATTTTCTGGGCATTGCGTAGCCTTCTAAGCCTGGTTTTACTTTGATATTTGATATTACATTACGACATGAACGACACTGTATAGCAATATGAGATGCTTTTGTGCGAATACTACTCGCTAAAGAGGATACAATATTATCATATAATAACTATCAATATAAAAGTGATGAATGTACCTGCAATAACAATACCAACGGTTTTGATTAATTTTGAAACATATTCAGACTAAAAGTTTAAAAAAAATATCTTTCGACACCTATATAACTTGTCAACAAAATATAATCTCAAACCTTAATATTACGCAAATATAACGGATGTGCATCATTCATCAACATAATTTGTATATCTTGAACATCAATATCATCGTTTGGTCTTGGGCGAGTTATTTCATCGGCAACTTCTTTCACAGATTCTTCAAACTAAACAATGAATCAACAATTAGATATTGGTATAGAAACATCTCAGAATGATAACACAAAACATACTAGTGGTAATAATTCAGCTGGTTGTTTTTTTATATTATCACACAGTGCATCATCATAATCAGCCAAATGTCTCAATTCAATTTCAATCCAGTATCGTCCGCTATTGTAATTGCGACGTAACATTTCTCTAAAAACAATCCAGATTATAGAAAATATCACTTTTACATGCCAGTAGACTAACCTGTAAATAAACAAATTATTAATGTGAAATTCACGAATAAATGATTTGAATTTTCTTTTTATTGTCGTTCGACTTTGTTCATGCTGATTATCTTGTTCATTATTATCAGCACTAAAATTATCGGAATAAAACACTCCCATATCATCGAAGCCGGCCATCTTGCACAAGTAGTAAAAAAATAAAATCTGAAAAATATAGTGAAAACAGCAGTAAAACTGGATGTAAAATGGATTGTTCTAATGAGAGAGAATCAACAGTTGAAAAAAGCAAAATGAAAAAACAATATCATTATACAAAAAAAAGAGGCGTCTCCTGAACCATCTTTGGGAAAATTTATATTGATCACTTGATTGTTAGCACTATAAGATAATGGTAGTTTGTAGTCATTTCGGAATATCAGAAATAATCTTGAAAAGAATACCTATCCTTTAGAGATAGGATCACTGGGATAATTCAAACAATAAGTAGCTCTCGGAGCAGACTTAAGAACGTATGGCGTTTTAAATCACATTATTAATGAGAAACTTGAACATTAAGTTTTGAATTGTCTTTAGCACTATAAGCATCTTAAGTGACTTTTTTTTAATCATATTCTTAAAAGGCACTTTAGTTTATAAATACACTTCTTAGGACTTATCTTATTCAATTTCTTCAGTTTCTCTAGACTTTGTTTTTCGTTTCTTTCGGCTATCTCCTATCCAGTCTGTAGATATGATATAGTAAACCCTCATCAAAACACTTAAGCACATATTTTGCATCAGATAAGTGTTTATCTGATGAACATTAACTTAGAAAAGTAACCATGTAAAAATCAGATATTTTCTTCGTGTTGTGAAAAAATTCTGTCTGTCTGTACGCGGATGAAAAAGAAATTTCCACAAAAAAGTCACAGATATATTTCTTTTAGAAAGAGAAACATGAAACAAATTTTTTACCCAAAGAACAATAACCTGAGTCTGTGTGATAATTAATTATTAGCAATGGATGATTTTTTCGATGTATATACATGACTTTTTTTACAAAAAGAAGCAGGACATTTTATATACACGATATCAAATGTAGTAAATTTTCTCTCCTATTTTTCTTTCATTCCAGTTTGCTGTTTAAAAAACAGCAAAGCGTAACACACACTCACACACACAATAGTAACACACTCTTATAAGGTTTTTTTGTACATGTCAAAAAATCAAACTAAAGTAAAAAAAAGGAAGAAGTCAATAACTGTCGGAGTGTGCGTGTGATATGGTGGGATGATGATGAAGAGCAAAACACAAAAAAAAGCAAATAAACAACTATAAAAAACGCTTTTCTTTTTCCTAAATTTTTTAGTGAATGAACATAGAGGAAAAAAGAACGTTCTATGCTCTTTTTCTTGTTAATAATAATAAATAATGAATAGTTAAGATGTGTTTTTTACTCGTCTGAAGAAAGCACATAGTTCATCACACACGCTTTTTTTCTTGTTATTGTTGTCTTGGCTAAATTCATCAAACAATATCATATTGCTGTTGTTTTTATTTAACACCGTTGAATTTTTTATTCTATTTAAATTTTTGTTATTTTATCACCTTGTACAACAGGCATATTTCGTCTAATCTCATTTTGACCATGTTCTTTATAATCGAATGTACACTGATGTTCATTGGCATAACGATGTAACGAACAGTAATGTCCACCACAGCGACAAGGATAATCTACAAAAAAAAGTGAAAAATATGTCAGATCAATGGAACAAAAGAAATATAGAACGTACCAGTTAATGTAAGTTTTTTATTACAAGTAAGACATCGTTTCTTCTTTCTATCAACACTGGAAGCAGACAGAGATATCGATTCTGCACCTGAAACTAAAACGAGATATTGACAAGATTAGTTTTGTCTGAAATATCGTGGAGAACTTCGATCTACAGTTTTATCCTCCGTTCTAAATGCAGAAGTGAATAACTCTATAGAAATGCATATAGTTTAAATTGTGTCGTATATAGCAAAAGGAACCGGATCATCTCAAAGGTATACGTTAACCTAAGCAAACAAATTTTATTAAACTAATCCACGCTGAAGGAATTGTTCCTCACAAGACAAATGGAGTTGAAAACAAACAAATGTCTTACCTGAATTATCTAATTCGGACAATGAAGTTGTTGAATTTTTTGGGATGTCAATATTTTTCGTTATACTAATAGGTAACGATGGCGTAGAAACAATTCTTTGCATCACATCACTATTTAAAGATTCATCATTTGTTTCATTTTCACTGACATTTGTAACAGCAGTCGATTTTTCACTGCCTGATTTCATCACTGTTATCATTGAACTATCATTATCTTCATCCATCGATCCTAAGATATGGGCAGAATCATCCATAGCTTGTTCATCTTCCTGCGGTTGTGGTTGTTGTGACGTAAATGAAGATGTGGATGATGTCTGATGATTCATAGATGGTGAATAATAGTCTTAAAAAGCAAATAAAAAAAAAGATTGATTGATGTCTGTGAAATTCAATTGTAAGGAGTAACAAAATACTTACTGTTACATGGACTACTTCCAGTATCATATTTTTCTTTCAGATGATCCTTATAACATTGTGAACACATGCCTTCATATGCTTGGCTTCCATAATAACCGCAGTTATTTTTACAAGACCTTGGATTTGATTCCGGTTGTTCCATAATTAACGAAAATAATATCGGATAATGTTTATGATTGTACAATGATTTGTGGCTTTCGAGAGAAGAGTTTAGATTGATTAAACAAATTCTGTAAAAAAAAGTACGCAAATAAACTATGTGAAAATATATATTGTTTCGTATCTTACCAAACAAAAATGACACTTTGTAATCGTAAATAAGATAATCTGAAAAATAAGTATGAGTGAAAAATATGAACTGATGATCTTTATTCATGCAAAATAAATAGCCTAAAACAATTGTACTTATCAAGTACTTCTCTTTCCTACATTAGATTAGATCTGAAAATCCTCACTATTTAGTATAGACTGTTGCACTATTGTACAACACATGGATCTTAGAATTCTCCTTGATAAACAGTTGCCGGCAATGTTCATCAAAGTTTTAGTAAAAAAATAGTTCTATCATCTGCTGCCAGTTAGTCACTAAATTGGCTGGTTTTCATTTTTCTCTTTTCTTAGCGAGTGAAACACATTCAATATCTTACATACAATATATACACTAAAAGCACTGTTTTATTTGTCTTTTTCCTTCTTCTAGAAGATCATATAATAATGACGAAACATACCCTACTACAAAAGATAAGAGCTATATATACACGTTGTACCTCATGTTTGTCAAATTATAAATAATAAAAGAAAAATTTTTCTTTTCTATCTTTCTCTGTTGTGCACCAGAACTTACAGAAAAGAAAAACAAATGACGCATGCTATATTCATAGTATTTAAAGTGAATAGCGCAAAAATATTTTTTTAAATATGATTTCTAGAAAGTAATGTGTGATTCATACGAGTAAATTTTTATGATTATATATCTGAGTGTGATGATACAGCAAAGTATGATGTAATTCATTTTCTTCATACACTCCACTTATTTGTATTGTAGGTCCGGCACATTGTTATAAATAGAGAACCAGTGACCTTATATCCTTCTTTGGATTTTATTTTATTTTTCTATTCAGATGAGAAACGCTCATTTCATTTACAGTCGACATTCAAGGTTGGAAGTTATCTTTTCCAAAAAAATGATTGTTAGAGATTTAGCGTTTTTACTAGAGATTTATGACGCTGAGCTGCATAATCTCTAGAAAACGAATCAGTCGTTCTTTATTTCACAATGTGTGCGTAATCAACTGCTACTTTTCAACCCGTTCTTAGTCCTACGACTATCTTACTGTTCCAGTCGCTGTATCATCATCATCTTTCAAGACCTAATTCCAAATTATCTTAACCAACGTTTTAATTAAACTCCTATACACAAACTGTGATGCACTACTAGCATCATTTCGTAATTGGACGTTCAACAAAAACATAAGTTACCTCTAAAATGTATTTGTAAACTCCTTCCACTATATGATTAATACAACCTAAGAGATCAAGAATGGTAGAAACCAGAGACCAAATCGCATCACAATTGTCTGATCCGAACTCGATCCGAAGTGCTAAAAACTTTTTTAAAATTTGACTCGAATGACTCACACATTTTTCCTTGGTGATTTGACAATAATCCGAAACTGAAAACCGTTTTACTGGAAGGTATATTATCAAACTGTAATCAGGAGGAACCAAATTCATTTAACGTCAATAGATAAGACATGCGTTTAAAAATAAATGAATCAAACGCAACTGACAAAAATTTTCTCTTTTATTTTCTCGTGATATGATCCGAATAAAACCTGAAATTTCTTTTTCCTCTGATCTGAACCTCAGATCTACCCGAGCTGTTTTCATCTCTGGCAGAAATCTCAAATTATTACTCCTTTTGGGCTTGGAAGCAGTTTCTTAGAGATCATTTGAAAACTCGGATATATTCGATCTTTCGACTTGGCTGCGTGCTAACGCAAGATTTCTTAGGCTTCTTGAATCAATTTTTCATTCGACTGTGGGTAGCCTTATAATGACTTGCTAAGACAGTGTATAAAAAAAAAGCTTTCGATCACAATACTAGATACGAATAATCGAATAATTTCTTTTCTTTCGGTACACATATATCTGTTTGAAAAACACCAACAAAACGTTCGTTTGGCCATATTGTTTTATTTAGTACCACAATAGATAAAAACAAAGAGGCAATATCGTGATGTTTCGAAAATCTGCTTAAATTGTCTGTTAATCACTAGGCACAACGTTGTATAGACAGTCATTTTTTTCTTTTTGCATGTATATAACACTAATGCAAATGAAGAATAATCAAATAGTATCACGAACACAAAAAGACAACTTTATCAAAGTAGATGAACTTATTAAACTAAAAATCAAGCGAAGTCAGTGACAGACTGCAGAGAAGTTAGAACTTGTTTAATGTAAATCTTACAAACACAATCCTTCAAAGTAAAAAAAATGAACACTGGAAATATCGCGTTAATTGCATGGCCTCAATTATTGGACAACATATAGAGTTAGGAGCAATATATTCAGTTTTGCAGTTTATTGAAAACCAAAGTTTATATGTCTTACGAGGGAACTTTCCCAAGTGTTCACCCTCGTCTTCCATGATATTAGGCATGTCGGCAGAGAATATTGTTCTAAGTATTGAAACATTCATTTTGCTCCCTCTGAGACTCAATGTACTTACAAGAATGAAATATTACTGATATAATAAAATAATCAAGCCTTTTTCATTTATAAATGATTGATTAGAGTTTATGCGTAAAAAGAAAATATGATGCGCATGTCCACTCATGTGATGTTCACGCAATAACGAAGCTGCAATTTCTATGACGAAGCACAAAAAGAACGGGAGAAAAAAGTCTTTATTCTTTTCTTTCTTCTGCGCCCACCGATTAATAGAAACATATGTTTAAAACGTACGAGAAAATGTGTGGAGTAGAAACGCAAAGAAAAACATAAAAACAACAGCACGCAAAAGAAATAATACAACAACAACACTCAGTTTTGTTGTTACTCGTATTTGTTTTATGCATAAGCTTAATCGCTCCTATTCAAGGTTAGAAACAAGAGAACAAAGAATAGTTGAATACAAAGATAACATGAAAATTTCAGCTTAATCCACGATTATCACATTGAAAATAAATGAATTTAAATTAAAAATGATTTCTTAGATGAAATTTTTGTTTTCTTTCTATCCAACGAGACTTACAGAATGATGTTACCCACAAATCGCAGTTCAAAACCTGAAATTGATTTTTACAGTTTATACTCCTTGCAAAAAAATTTGGTAATTATCAACTTTTTGCGCTACGGGGATAACCGGTAGAGATACCAGCCGACCTCCTGTTCAACAGTGTCATATACTATTCCAACTTAAATATTTTGAATCGTGGTAGCTCAAACCCGTATGGAAATTTACATGAACAGTACCTTGGAATTTTCGAATAATTGATTAGCAACGGCAGCGCGGCTAACATATTCAATAATCAGGTCTACCGTTTTTCAAAAAAGCAATATATCGACAACAGAGAAAGGTTCCATAATGGTAAACTACTAACGCTTGACAAAATTAACAGCATCTCTCAAAAAATCAGATTGACTCCAGTATTAATCCGATAAATAAAGCTGAACAAGAACTAAAACAATCATTCATGGATACTATAAGTCTTCAGTCTGATTGAACAATAATCTCAAAAGCTAATTGTTTTGTTACCATGAAAAGTCAGCCTTTCAATACTTACAAAGAATATTAATAAATAGCAGTTCAAATAAAATGATTTAAACAAGATTATTTCGTGTTTCCCAATCACAAGGTAACATCTAGGTGTAAGTTTTACAACCAGCGTTTATTTCCTTCGATTAAACTAGGTTAAAGCAAACGCTAGCAGCAACTTGTTACAATCAGTTTTAAAGTACAAAAACTGCGTTTATTGTGAAATCTTGCTTCTAAATGTTACTTCTGCTGTACTTCGATCATTTCATCTCTAGAAAAAAAACTTCGTATATCATGAACAAATCACATGTAATCCACCATTATAGACGTAGAAGTTGCGAACACGAACAGTGTTACGAGAAAGAGTAAATATCCTAGTGATAAAAATCTGAAAAAAATATGGCAAGTAAATGAATAAAATTTTTTTTGGAAATCATACACAACTATTATTACTTGGGAAACAAGAATAAAACTTTCGTATACTTAGCAGATGGTAGTACGAAAACAGTCGGTAGAGAGTGACATCTGTGAAACCAGTACAGTACGGATAATTGAATTTTAAAATTCACCATTAGCACCAGAAAGCGGATTCTGAAAGATGAGCCAGTCAGATATCGAAAGAGATCTGAATAAATACGATCAGGTCTAGCTTTTTAAAAAAACTTAAATTTTTTTGTTAAACCTACAATGAATCTTCATTTAATATATTACAGCAGGAAAAATGATTCTTTGAAACTTGCATAGAAGAAAAAAGTGAATTCATGTTTCTTGTCGCTTTAGACACGATTCTCATAATTTTTTAAAATCTCACGAGAAAAATTTTCATGACTATAATTGTCACGAGAAGTAAAAGAATGTTTGTTGTCTATCTCACGGGAATTATTCTGTCATTGTTGATATTATTTACACCGAATATCCGAATGGTCTAAGTTCATAAATTTAAGTTTGATGAAAAAACGTCAGACATACTGATTGCTACGGTCTTGCAGTTTTAAGAATCTCTTCGTTAGCGAAGACATATACAATAACAGAGTCTTTTCGATTAATCTGATCCTGTTCAAACTGTGAAAAAGTTGAGTTTTCACATGACTGGTAGTTTTGGGCATACACTTTCATAATATCGGAAGATTAGAAGGACAGAGTAGTGTGAACTGTGTGTAAACACAGTTATCACATACTATTCAATACATCAAGAGCTCATTGAAAATAGACTGTAATACTTAGTATGAAACAGTGAATCACTTCTTCAGTTTGTACACCGTTAATGAAATGATCCATTAAGATATTTACAATTTTATTCATTCACTACATATACATGTATTTATAAAAAAAACTGTCTCAGTTAACAATAAATGTACATAAAATAATCTACCTTCTAAGCAAGTTACAGCAGTGATTATGGAACAGAATCAATTCCTGTTTGTCCTTCTTTCAATGTTTTCTTCTGCCATAATCGATATTGAGCCATTTGATTTGGAAATTGTGTACTTAATTCTACCGATAACATTGTGGCAAATTTTTCTAATGCATCATTTTTTCCTTTTAGCTCTTCATTACGTTCTAATGCATGTTTCAAACAATCACTAGTGTACAATTGTGGATTTTTTAATTCATCAACGTAGCTAGAAATAGGAGAAAAGGAATGTGTAAAACTTATTACTATGCTAAACGATAATTATTTTTACCTTAATAATTGTCCTGGAATATGAATATCATTGAAATGTATTTTCATTTGATCAACTTCTTTTAGTGAATTAATTAAACTTTCGAGTAATTGATAGAGACGTGTCTGAGACTGAGTTTGAAAATCGGTTACGGTCACACCAAGGTTCCATGTCATATTAATCATTTGTTCTAATTCTTTCTCAAGTTTCGTTAAATGCTCATTCATCTAGATTTTTACAAGCAGACTTTTTATACAGTTGGTTAGGAGAAATTTTTTTTTCGCTTCATATGCCGCATTTAAAACTTTACAGATCACTTTTAATCATAATTGCTATAAATCCAAGCTACAATGACAGCAATTGCCAATATAATGCTCAAAAGTTTAGTGGAATCAGAGTGTCACGTTCTACGAACGTACTGAGGTCTGCTAGTTTTAATTTTAACGTTTAGATATTTGTAAACCCCTTCCATAATAGAGGACCACTGCTGACAAATTTTTCCTGAGATTCCTTCTACGATTTTTAGCCCAAAACTGACTTGAGTTGTTTGCCAAAGTTTATTGGGGGGAGAATTAGCTCATTTTGTCCAGTTTAACCCTGATCCGTCCAGGACCTCAGGCGAAAACGAATGCTTTGAATGTCTTGCTGCTCTGTCAGATACATAATGAGTGAATGCAATCAGTTCATATTGATAGTACACCCTAGAGGAATATAAAGTGAAGCGGTAACATCTAACTGTTGTGTTCAGGCAGTATCCAAATGAAACCGGTAGAATTTGCGCATATTATAGGTGGTCGGATCAGGGTTAATGTCGATTATCTACCTTTTCTTGTAAAGCTTTATAAGCAAAAATTTACTTGCTGAAAATAACAATATATTCGAGATATCTTCTTTATCTCATAAAAAACCCAAATCCGGAAAACAAGGAAAAGATATTTGTCAAAAAAGAAATATAAAAAAGGCTACATCAAAAGTGTTTCAAAGTATTTATTTTTCTCTAAAGGTCATTTTACCTACAACAAAATCATTATGCAAGATAACGTGGCTTCACGGCAGTTTATCAACAACAAAAAAAAAATGCAGCGCTATGAAAAAAAGTCTATAAGAATAATAAAAAAAATATGTAAACTGTACATATTGGCACTTTTGATAAAATATATCACGTTCTCTTGTATTCTGCTATAAAAATAGAAATCGTTCATCGTTATCATTTAGATTAATCACATTCAGCATCTTCGCACGATTCATGAAGATCATCTAGGAAAAAATAAATAAAAATAGTGCAAAATATTTTAATAAAGTTATTTTTAGACAAACACGTACAAACTTGTGATTCGTCTAACGAACTTAAACATGTAGTAGCTGCTATTTGTAAAGAAGATGCGATATTAGACTAGAAGAAAATAATCGAAGTCTATTTAAAGTAAATAATAATATATGAACATAAAACATCTGAAGACACATATCTTTATAAATGATATTAATTCTGCTTAATGATAGGAAATTTTTTTAATCATTTATTAATGATATTTGAATAAAAGATTAAAAAATTCTTCTATACAAGTATGTTTTTGGCTCGCATTACCTTGAAACTAGAAATTTTTTTAAATAATTGATCAGATTCTTTCATCATTGTTTTCATATACTCATTTGATGCTAAATTATCTAATAAATAAATTATTTGTTCATGAATTTCTTCTGGATAATCTTTTTCGAGCATGGCTTGTAATATCTGAAATAAAAAATGTAATATATACAAATTGAAAATGTGAAAAGATTATTGTTTACCGTTAAAAGTTTCATTGGATCAAACAAATGAATTAGAATATCGACATCTTTCTCAAGAAAAAGATTACGTAAGAGACTTAACAAACATATGAGAAACTGTTTATCTGAACATTGTTCAAGAGTAGAATAAATACGTTCGCCTGTCAAATCTAAAATGATGATGTAAGAAGTAATAGATAGTTTCTTTAGAAATAGTACGATTTTGACCTACTATTAATAATATCTTGTTTCACTTTTAAACTTGCCAGGTATGTCATATTTCGAATTGCCCACATAGCGTTAAGAGACAATTCACGATCAGTCTGATCTAATAAATTGAGTAATGTTTCTAATATACCACCATTTAATAATCTCTGGAGAAAAAAAAATCCGATAATAGCCCAATCATGAACAAAAATTTAATCTTTTATTTATTTACCATTCGACAAGTCGAAAATTCCATCACAACGTTACTAATGACACATGAACCTACTTTAACAACGGCCAAATCCCGACTTTTAATTGAGTCTAATAATAAATCACATATGTTATCATTGAATGTTGTCCGTAATTGTTGAACAGAACGTGATAGACCATGAAATAGACGTAATGATGCCAACTGTAAGGGAATATTCGAAGTTCGGTAACATTCAATTACTGTTGATATTAAATCTAAAAAATTTACAAAAATCGTACTACAAAATACCGAATACACAATCATATTAGAATACGTTCAATGCTTGTTTTGAGGAAAGATTTCAGAAATAGTCCATGCAATAATGTATGCAAAGAAAACATTCTGTCTATTTTATCAGATTATTTTTTCTGTTACGAACGTACGATGTATTTTAAACACTATTTTAACATTTTCCAAGAGCATGATTTTATTTTCGCTATACAAATCTTAAATAGACTTACTATCCTGCTCTGAAATACGTTTTCGGATATCTTCAAAATGAGATGACAAAACGGCTAACAAAGTTAGTGCTGATGCTCGTATTTGTACGATTGCTGCATGAGTTGTATCGATATCATCGCCAATAATTTTTGTTGGTGTTACCACGTATACGAATAATTTCGATAATAATTGTTCCGTATATGTAGCACACTTAAGAAAACAACAAGAACAACGTTTTAATTCAACATCTAGATATAAGACTATTCGTACATGATGTAGAGTAGGATTTCCATTCAATAAATATGTTAATGTATCCAAACATTCAGAATATAAATAGACACATGACAAATGATATTTAGTACATAAATGAATTAACGTTGTCATTGCACCAAGTGATACATATTTATGATCTAAATAAGAAACCAAATATTGTGTAATGGACACTATATCAATTATAGTGACGAACCTGGTTGTAATGCTTTTGTTTTACATAAGTTGACAAAAAATTTGGCTGCATAGTAATAAATTTGAAATAATTTAAATTTGCCATTATTTAAGAATTTTTGGACAATATCACAGATTGTTGGTTGTTGTTGTTGGTTATTAGAATAGACTACGCATAATAATCTGAAAAAATAAAAAAGAATTGTTAAGAAAACTAAAAAAAAAACAAAAACAGTGTTTACCTTGATGATACTTCAGGATTTTCATAACATACGGCACTCAGAAATTTTAAACAGACCAATATAATGGATTCATTTGTTAACGAATTTTTTTGATAGTAATATTGCTGTTGCTGACTAGAACTGTATGAAACAAAGTCAGAACGATGTAGGACATGTCTACGAAGCGAAGAGCTGCCATAGAAATTACCACTGAATCTCATAAGGTTGTCTATTTCCACTGAGATTGTTGAACATGTAAAACAGTACAGTAAAACGCATAACCTGTCTCTTAAGCTTGTTTCTCATTTAAAATTACTTGATGTTCATATTGTTTACAATCTTACGTGGAAAGGACACATGCTCAGCCCCATATCAACAGCACCAGTTACTGAAACGAGCTATCTTCGTCTTCATCAAAAGACTATCATAGACTCCTATATTTTCATAAAATTATGTATGCACAAGTTTTCTGTTCCGTCTGAACCTTCAAAGTCTCACTGAAAATAGACGATCTGTCCGACCAGCGGATTCCTCTTCGACATTTATCCCATCATTCTAAATTATTTTGAAATGATCTACCTGCATCTATCGCATATATAGCGAACCCTATTGTATTTAAATTCTACTGAAAAATCTGGTGGATATACAAACGTACAACTAATGTTTGTTGAAGGACTAAAGCTTGCTTTGTACAATAGAAAGAATTAAACTATAAACAAAAAATTTCTTTTCAGTTAAAAACACCTGATTTCCCGAAACAACTCATCCCTCCAAGCAAGTGATTTACCTCGATGTTGTATTATTATTATTTTCAACTGGTGGTTTTAATGGAAATAATTTTGTCGTTGTTGTCAGTGTATCATGTCCATTGTCGACACTATTATTTTTGCTCTGATTAAGTTTGTTTGTCGTTGATTGTGTAGTGGAACTCACCGGAATATAATTTTGTACTAATAGATGTAAAATAGTCTTGATTGTATCTTTTTGTATCAGTTGTAATTGCAGTTCGTTATTTTTACACGCGCATGTTAAAATTTCAATAACGCATAATTGTATTGTTTTGGACATTGGTAATAATTTCAATAAACAGTCAATAGATGACGGATTATCAAATAAAATATCAATAGGAGAACGTGAATTTGTGGTAGCCGAAGCTGAAGATGGTGTAAATGAATTGAATATTTGCATTGGTGAAGTTGTCGGCGGTTTTAAGCTATCTTGTTCACATAACAGAGTAAATGAACTTTGTTGCTGATAATAATTTGTATAATCTGTTTTTAATTGATAGTTGGCATTATTATTTTTGCTAATAAAAAATGATTTTAAACATTTTAAGCATGATTCACACAGTGTAAGCGAATCATTATGCATATTTAATAAACATAATAATTGCTGAATAAATCCAAGTTCAGTAAGACGTTCAATAATTAATTTATTGTTTGATTTAGCAAATGACGATACACAATCAATAATTTGAATTAGTAAATCAACATTATAATTATTACTAACAGATGGTGTACAAAATTGATTAAGCAGAGCGTATAACATTTCTAATGTTCCAACACGATAAAATGTACTTTTAAATCGTTTACTCCCGATAATAAGATTTTTCAACTAAAATACAAAATAAATCCTTTAACTTTTTCATTTACTTTTTTTCACTGGCTTTTATTTTACTTCTTACCTGTGCAACAGCACGACAACGTTGAGGCAGATCATCTTCGACCAATTGTGTTATTAAAGTTTGTTCTGTTTGACTAGGAAGATCTTCTTCATAACTAGGCATATTTGTTAAGTATAGTTTAAATCTAAACGTGGTTAACAATAAATCACTGATCTGCCTTTACAACGACAATTTGGAACCTGATATTTCCTTGCCAAGTCACTAGTAACAATTCATCTATGGTCAAACTATTATGGTTTGTGTTTAATACACAGATGTAGTCGAGACGTAGAATTTCCTTAGGCGAGAATACACGTGTCTAAGAGAATTACTGGGCGTATCACTGATTTAGTGGAAAACATATAATTGACCTATCAAACTGTACTGGCGGTAGACTAAGACTGTTTATTCACGAAAAGTGAGAGAGTCACCAAAGGTCACTGATCTGTAATAAATGACTCAAGTCAAACAACACAAAAAGAGTAATAAAAAAGAACAAAATAAATAAGACAAGGTTAGAACCAGAAGTAGTAAAAAAAAGAACAAATATAAATTCTTAACTGACAAATGTTTCACTGGAAGAGATACTGACATAAAGCTGTTTTGAAAGACGTTAAACAAGAAAGACAAATAATTGACTCTTGGAGATTATTCCAGTCAGCAATAGTTGAATAAAAAAAAGAAGTATACACCGTCTGCGGAGAATAACCATGAACAGAAGATGGAATGCGAGCATATTTAGAATGATGAAGACGTAAAGATGAGTAGTGAGGACGATGAATAGTATAAAAAAGAGAAACAGGACTTAGATGATGATAAATTTAGAAAAGCTGTAGACGTCTAAAGTATTTATGACGAAGAGTGAGATTTGGGAAACAAAGTTGAGACACAAGTAGAGAACTAGAAGAATGATAGTCAAAATTGAGAGAAATAACACGAGAAGCAAGTTTGTTTACAGAATAGTAGTAAAGCACTTGACATACTTTATTGTAAGCCAAGTTAACTGGGTCATTTAAAATTATAAAACAAACAAAAAATTCGTCTGTCATCTACGTTATAGTATTTTTCTACCTATTTACAAACTGATTGTTCTCATCACTTTTGGTATCAAGCATTAGATTTGTGTCGCGCAAATTTCTCAAGAACAATAAATACGATTCGGTTAGGAATTGCACACGAGAGTCGATATGGAGGCTTAGACATAACCCTTTTTACAAACACTATTCTAGCGTAACCTACTCGAAAAGCATACGGTATGACCACTAATATATGCAACATTAGTTATGATTCTTTTAAAAGATTTCTGAATGAAAATACTTTAAAATGAAATGTTAATCACCTCAATTTCATCGATGTAGATCAGAATAACTCTCTGGCACTCATTCAACAAAGAATACTAAATTTTCTCAGTTTGTCGTAACCTATGAGATGAAACACACACGCACGCACTGTGTTTTGATCAAGATAATTATTTTTAGAATCCGATAGTTTTAAAAACCCTGCTAGGTTAATCAAGAAAGTGGCCCAATTCATCGATCAACAAAAATTCTTGGGTAGGTCTATTGACACCCCCGGGGTGGCAGCAGGAAGCTATTGACAGTTCCAAGACTGGCAGCAAGGGGCTATTGACACTCCATCGAACTGGCAGCAAGGAGCTATTGACAGTCCAGAATACACTTATACACTGCAAAAATGTGTTATTTAATAAAGACCATCATCTCCAGGTAACATGGAAGTATTCCAGTGGCTCACTCTCATGTACAGCCACCCAACCCACCCGAAATCACCCCTCATAGGCCGTCAATTTCAGAACTAATTCAACATAACACTTTGAATAACACATTTATGAAGTGTGTAGGTACATTTTGGACTGTCAATAGCTCTTGCTGCCAGTTCGATGGGGTGTCAATAGCTCCTTGCTGCCAGTCTTTGGACTGTCAATAGCTCCCTGCTGCCACCCCGGGGCTGTCAATAGACCTACCCAAAATTCTTTCTCCTTTTGAATCAGTCATCACCAAACCGTTTTGTTTCAGTGTCCTCTATTTTTGTATTTTAAAACTTTCTTTTTTTAGGAGACAGAGGATTGATCAAAATAAATAAATAAATAAAAGCCATATTAAACAGAATTTCCTGTTTTTCATTAATATTCTCAAAATTTATGTATGAAATATAGCTAAAGTATCAAGTTTCGTGGAATTTGATCTACATTAAATTGATGCCCTCACACTCGAAATATCTTCCCCCTGCTTAAAATAATTTGTCAACAACCTTTTCTGAGATTTATCGGAAGATTAACCTGTCATGAAATACATACACAATACTTTTATTTCTCTCTCGTTATTTTTGCTTTTATTTGCCGATCAAGAAATAAGGATCAGATATATCGCAGATCAAGAATGTGATTGTACGTACAAGATGAATATGATAACCAATCAAGACTTATTGCACTTGGAGACCATTATTTTTTTGCAATGAGAAAATTTAACGGAGCAAAAATTATATTGAACAACCATCATCTCTCTCGGCATCTAATAGCAAAATTACAATACACCTCATTACTGTTTGAAACAAAAAATGCCTTTTTTTATGTATTCCTATTCATGGAATATTTTCCTCTTTCCAAGGAAGAAAAGCTAGCACGTTGGGTAAAGCAAATTGCAACGCATACGTGACTTAAAAATATGATTTTGAGTTAGTTAATAAAAGATGGTTTTACTAGTAATTTGTAAACGAGTATTTTTTCAAAGTTTGCTGCATGTAGGTCGTTCCATACTCAGTAGTTCCTTTTAATATTGTTATGGCCATGAGAGCAGGCATCGTTCAGTGACTCATCGAGGACCATTAACTTGAAGAACACATTAATCAATTGTGTTGCCTCATATGTTACTAAGGGAGAAAAATTCATAAACTTGCCTTGTAGCGTAGCTTCAACGAGAGAAAAAACTGTATTCCGTTTGAATTCTGTTTTTCGTATTAATCATAGCCACACCTGTTAAATAGCTTATACTTCTTTTTTAAGAGGCGTAGTTTGTCGTTCGAACCAAATTTTCTGTTATAAACAACTTTTTTTACTTTATCCCTCTCCCATCTACAAGTTGATTGTGTCAGCAGTTGTTTCTTATTGCAAAATTCGTTTTCATAATTTATCAAAACTGATTTTTTCCGGTGTGTGTGCGTGGGTAAAAGAAGCTTCAGTTTTGAAAAACATACTAAAGTTTAAAGTGAGTTGGAGACTTATAAGGGAGATCCCCAAGTGTGTTACTAGAATTCAAACGAAATACACATCACTTAGTAGAGTCAGACTGATCATAAATACAATAACTTTTAGCTGACATCAGTAGATGATTGCTGAGTTATGACAGTTTTATATTTTATTATTGAAAAAGTTCTTTTTAATCGACTGTATTTTGCTTTAGAGATATTACTTACATAAGTCAAATATACTAATTTTTTGTAGAATGTCTTGTAGCTCTGAGAAAATACATTTTAATCGATATGTACATCCTTATATTTCAAAAAACGAAAATATCATGCTAAATTTTTCTAACATAAGTTAGAGATGATAAATTGTGTAATCTGCAATATACAGAAAGAGAGCATCTTTCATTCTCTAATAACTGCCTAACCAATGGAAGTAATGTCTCTAAACAGTCGATTAAAAAAACAAAACGTTTTTAACAATAAAATATAAAACTGTCATAATTCAGCAATTATCTACTGATGTCAGCTAAAATTATTATATTTGTAATCAGCGTACCTGACTCTACTAAGTGACATATATTTCGTCTGAATCCCAGTAACACACTTGGAGATATTCTCTCATTAGCTATTATTGTTACTTAAGATCTGATTTTTTATTTCTGAATATTGCATGAATTTTTACTGTTTTTGTTTTTTTTTAATTTAAGGAACGTTGCAGTAGTTGTTGTTTCAACTGTTATGAATTATTTTTCCATAATTAATAACGAATAAACAAGCACAGCAATATGTCTTCTTTAAATAGTAAGTGTTAGAACTACAATTTCTCAATATAATTGTTTCATAAATGTATATTTTATTTTTTATTATTTTAGATTTATGAGTGAAACTGTGTGCGTGTGGTGTTGTTTGTTATTGTTATTAAATGTAAAAAATTTGTTTTATTTTTACATCATCCCGTTAAAATAAAATTCTTCTCACGATTATCTTCGTTTAGTTATCATAGTTATTTGATTGAAACCGTTAACACAGTTTGAAAGTAAGATTTTATCTTTGTAGTAAAACTTTCATAATCTATCAATACTTTTTGTTTATAGATATTTATTCGTTTTCGTTTTTCTATTTGATATTTATTATCATCATTTATATTCTTCATTTTTCTTCTTTTGTTTTTTTCATTAATTTTGTCTATTGTTTATTACGTGTGTAAAAAAATTATATCAGGATCAAACTATCATCATTTATTTTTTATTCAAAAAAATTCTTCATTTTTTGTTGTTATCTATGCATTACAGTACCACAAATTCATCAGTTTTATAACAGTAATCATAACTTCGTTTTTTTGGTGTTCTTCATTTGATTTTTTTTTATTCAAATTTAACAAATCACAAACGAACAAAATTAGTACAATTATTAGTCTATTTTCCTATTTAAATCAATTTAAATTTATCTATCTTATTTCATATTGATATCATTGAACAAAACCAAAACATGATACAAGCGGAAGTGAGCTATTGTTGTTTTTTTATTAACATTTTATAGTCATGACGACAGTTTCGCCATTATATTTCACATGTATGTCAGAATTACGCAGTTTTTGTCACTTTTGATTGCCTTTACTGTCTAGAAATTCATTCATGAATGTAGTTTATCCTCTTTTATCTCGTCTCTAATTTTATCAAGAGGTGCCAATGGCAGTTTTACTATTTTAAAAGCAAACAGTTGTTCAAAATGAATGGAAAGAAAAATACAAGATAAAGCATACGGATTAGATTACTTTTTCAGCTGTTTAGTCAAATATTTCTTCAAAATATTCGGTCTAGAGTAAAAACACATGTTTTTCAAATGATTTCGAAAATTTGTTTTCGCGCTCTGAAGCAAGAAGTAGCGGTTAATTTTACAACACTCTATTTGTTTAACTAGTCTACTAAGGTATTGCTCTTTAATACTTTTGTTATCTCTTGTATCGATGGAAATTATTATAACACAACTGTGCCTACGAAGAATATGTTCAAATCAGTGTTTGTTTGTCTTCTAAAATATTCTTTGATATTATAATTATGAAACATTGTTTCTTCAGAAATAGTTCTTAATCTTATAAGAAACCTCCATTTTTCGCTCTATTCGTATAATTGTTTTGAACGGTCTAGTTTCTATGGACAATAAGGTAGTACCTATAAATAGTTTGTCTGTCAGACAAATGTCTTGAATTAAATTTGAAGTGGTTATTTGATCCATCTTCAAGTTGAAAAGTGTACATATATATATGACTACACTAAGTTTATTTAAACCTTTTTTTTTTCATCTCTGACGGTAAAATTGTTGTGAGAGATGAAAAAATTGCTGAAAAAAAACCAATTGTCTATTATTTTCTCTTATGTCAATGATAAAACGGTGTATGTGTGTATGGATAATATAATGATCGTTCTTCTAAACATTTTTTTTCTTGTTGTCTAAATTCAATTATACTGTTTTAAATTATTACCAAACAAACAAACAAACGACATTTAAGAATAAAAGTTTTATAAATATTTGGACAAATTTTCTTGCTAGGACAACAAAACTGTTGTGAGTGATCCTTCTTAGTTTCAGAAGTACATAAACGTAGTAGTACCTGTTTATGGAAAATTATTCGATTTAAAATGCATCTTGTTCAATAGTCTTTTCTATTTATCGATTCATAAAATACATAACACAGAACATCGTTAAAAAATGTTTATTTATTTTAAGTTTCTTTCTTCTCACTGTTGTTGTTGTTGTTGTTGTGCATGTGTAAGAATTTTATTATAATGTTAAAAATATAATTCAGTTATTATGTGCATAGCAATAGCACAAGGGAATGTGTGTTTCTTTTGATCATTTACCTGGTATCATAAGAACATGAATAGAAGAATTAAAATCTTTTCGATATTTTTATCATCTCTGTTCTCCTCTTTCTATTCTTGTCAACATCACAACTAATAACAATACTACTTAGACTATGAACACCGATGCTCTAAATTATTATTATTATTATGTTGTTGTTGTTGTTTTTGTTGGTGGGACATTTTGTATCATAGATGATTAGAACAATGTAATGTGGCATATGATTCTTTTTCGTTTTTGGTCGTATTGTAATATTAATACTCAATATACATATATAAAAAGAAAGAGAAGGATGAAATAAAAAAATATGTCGTCTTTATTTGCAGATGGAAAAAAACTCTCATTTTTTCTTCAATAACAGATACATTTATAATCGGAAAACGTTGAACATAACTAATGGAATTGAAATTATTTTTGTTTTTTTAATTATTAATATGGACAGGTGTATTTCGAGTATGGTTTTAGGTAGTCGATAATTTAATCCGGAGATAATTAGTCACGCCTTGTTCATAGGTAATAAAAAAAAAACCGTTGCAGTTAATTCACTATTAAGCGTAATAATTTGTTACTTTTTAGTCAAAAACGAGTTTGTCTGAAACAGTTTTGTGAAGTTTTTCAATCGCTAATGTGAAAGAAAAAGACGTAGACTAGGAAACTTTCTGAAAAAAAATAATGATCTCATAATATGAAATTGTAGCTTTTTTTTTCTTAAATATTAAAAATGTACAAAAAGATTTATACATATGTTTCTCTGTTTCTCTCTCCCTTTCTTTCTAGTTAATCTGGATATCTAATATGAATTACCTTGAACGATACATTTAAACATTTTAAGATGAAGCTTATTTGTGTGGAAGAGATAATAATAGTGATGATGATGATAATGATGATGATGACAAAATATAACACAACAATATGAACTTTTTTCTGTTCTTTTCTCCTTCTGCTTATAACATTGTTTTACATGCTAAATATTTTTATTATTTTTTCCTTTGCTCTTCTCTCTTTAATATATGATTGACTCTGACTATTGTTTCTTTGGCTTGAATGAGTGAAATACTCGAAGTGCAGCTATATGGATAGAATTCTTACGCAACATCTGTTTTTGACAATAAAAAAATAATTTTTTGTGTTACAAATGCCTATATTGCAACAGATGAAGAAACGACTGATCATAACAATATTGTGGATAACGGAAAATATGATAGAACTGATAATAACCTTGCAATAAATAATGATGTACTAGATACATCATCATATCCGTATCATGTAAGAGAGAGACGAGACAATATCTCTCGCCCACTGTACTCATGACATTTATAGATATAAGAGACACTCTTTCCCTCTTTCTCTCTCTCTTCACATCTCTGTAATATGTGTTTCTATTTATTTTACTGTATTGTAGGTAAACACAAATAATTTGAATCCAAATGCGGCACAATTTTCATCAGTTGATCAACATGAAACAGCAAGTAAGTCTATGAGTGACGGTATATATTTAAAAATATCTAGATTTTAATATTTAGTTAATTATTTAGACGCAGAATATCAGAACACAATTGAATATGCTGCTGGTTATATTCGACCAACATATTCAGGTAGGTTCAAACGAAGTAGAAAATTATGCATTATTTTTCAACTTGAAAGAATTGATTTATTATTTAGGCTATTATTTCGATGGTATGTTAATGATGAGTATTATGAGATTAAAATATTCGTGTCTATTATTTAAAATTTAAAATGAAATATCTTCTCACTCTTTGCTTTGTTTCTTCGTTCACCCTTTTCATTGTTTTAAAATAATTTTCAACAAATAATTGACTTGAGATTTGATATTTTTTTACCAGAAGATCTCGAGACCATAGATCAATTTCATTCTTCTTAACTCTTTCAATCCGTTGAATTTTTATCACTATGATCTATCAAATGTTAAATTAAATGAAATCCTTATAAAGCCGCATAAAAACAACTAAAAAAATTGTAAATCTTTGTAGTATATATGAACGACAAGTTTTTTATTGCACACAGACCACTATTGCTTTTGTTTTTGCTTTTCTCACAATCTACACTCTAAAAGTGGTTATAAACATTACAAAATTTTATTTTTATAAAGCGTAGATGATTATGCCATTAATTTTTTTTAAACATATAACTCAAATATTAACATCAGATATAAAGTTTTTTCTTCTGTCGTTTTAGTTGATCCATCATCAGAATTAATTTATCCACATCGGCCGAGTTATGCTGTTCAAGGTTATCAACAAATACCAAATGTTTCAGATCAATCATCTTCGGATATAATAACAACAAATGCAACATCACCAACAAATGTAGAAATGTATCATTCAGGTCAAGCAACAGGTACAACAGTTTATCACTTACAACTTTAGACTTAACAGGATTACTCAGAAGAGAGACAATATCAAAAATTTCTCCTCTCAAAAAGATGCAGAAAAGGCGCAAAAACTTTTTTTAAGTATTTTTAATTTCAACAGATTTCGAGAGTATAAATAACAGCTTCGATTGTTTTCGATGAAAGTGGAAAAATTTTTAATTTTGACTGATCGGTCTGGTCAGCTAACTCTGCTACTGAAATGAAATTTCATTACATTTTTGTTTCGCTTATAATTTTTTAACGGCGAGATGCCCAAATCTCTAAGACGTCTCAAATTAAAGATAAAAGTGCTCTGGGCATCTCGCCATTAAAAAATTATAAGAGAAACAAAAACGTAATGAAATTTCACTCCAGTAGTAGAGTTAGCTGGTCAAATTGAGATATCTCTCGTCAAAATTCAAATTTTAGACTAGCAGTGGACAGTAAAAAGACGAAAATTCTAATACATCGTCCAGAAACTCAGTATAACATGGGGTTACTTTTCTCAATACTTTTACCGATGTACAAACAAAATTTACGACGGACAGAGGCAGTGAAACATTGTTTTTTGTGTACGGTAATGATAGCTAGTAGAATTTCCAGGATGTAGACCCAACACCATTTATTAAGCTAGAATACAATCATGACACATGCGCAAATGCAGAAAATGGTACATAATCTGCGAATGTGACTAGTGAGTTTTGTGCTATTGAATGTTAAATTGGCTTCTCGAATTTATAAATCTTTACATGTAAGAAATAATAAAACGGATGACTCATCTATAAGAAACATATATTCCTGTGAACTAACTATTTTACTCGATATTCCATCTATGAATTGTTCTATGTCATTATTTTGTAAATGAATTACTATGTTTTATTTAAAACTCATTATAGTAGAATATTTTTTTGATAACTCATACAAAGAAATTGAGCTTTATTTTATTTGTAGAATTTAATTTTAAAATGACAACAAATTCAATTTGTTGAAATGTTTAGAAACGTGAGTGAGAAAATTAACAGAAATTTTATACAAAATCTATTGCAAAAATAAAAGTGCACTTTTTGACTCTGAAGTTATTGAACAGTATAAAGAAATTGACTGTCATTTGATTTTTTTAATTTTTTATTTCTGTCTGTTTCTTTTATATATATATATATTTTGTATGTGTTGTAGAAAAAAGAGTAAGAAAACTCGATATACCGTCATTTAAGGTTAAAACCATCATTGTGTTAATCCAGTCAAAATTATATTTTGACACAATTTATTCTATGATTGACATTGGTGAATATTTAAATGATAGAAAAAATCATCGATCATTATTATTTATAATCTAATAACTTGTCAACTCATTTTACGTAATCATTCATAACTAAGAAAGAGAAAGAATTGAGGTATGAGAATCACTGTCAATCAATATTATCTTTTAACACGTTTGATTTGATCATCGATTTTGATATGTTTTTCCAATATTTTTACTTTGAATGGAACCATTAATATCATCGTCTCAGTTAATCTTATAATTTATGAACTATCTTTAAAACTATTGGACAAAATATATATATACAGATATATATATTCTTGAAATTGTTGTTCAACAATAAATGATTCTTCGAAATGTTTTTTATTTTCTATTTATAGACGGATGAACATATTGTCATCTTCAAAATTTATTGACTATGACATGAGAGATAATAACGCGAGAATGAGAAGAAAAAAAGAAGAAGAGAATTGATTATTATCCCCCGTCTGCTTTGAATCAATAGAATCTTTTTTTATTTATATTTTTCTCTTCGTTCTTCTTTCGCTTTTCTCTATTTTTTTTTAAACGTATGTATATTGTACACGCCATAGGAAGATGTTAAATTTATAACAATGAATATGTATAGTATACATGTAGATATATTCTGACATACGTAAAATAATCTTTTTTTTCTTCTTCTGACTATCGTTTATTTATTAATAATACGGATGGTTTATTAAGTAAATAATTAGTCAATTATCAATTTTTTATTTTATTATAAACTGTTGTATGTCTATTAAAAAGGAATGATGTATGACAAAAATTTAATTTTACGAGGTACTTTATTTAATTTCAAGTGAAAATTTATTTTTTAGTTTTCTTTTTTTCAAAAAGATACTTGATAATGTTTGAATAAGAACTTCAAAATTTTTCAAACTTTCTACTGTAATTCACTTCCATAAAACAATATTTACTATTCTTCTCTTTTATCTGTAAAAAAAAATAATATTTGATTGAAACTTCAAATGAATTGTATGAATGAATACTTACACTTTCTCAAGCTATCATTAATGTAACTATCATATAACATTGATAAAAACGTGAAGATAAAAAGTATTTCTAATCTTTAGTTTAAATCCAATTGTACAATCTTTCAGTTTTATACTCAATCTTGAAAATTATAAAATGAGACGATTATTTTGGATAACAATACACTAATTGTTTTTTCTCATTATTTAATATATAAAATATTCTTGAAGTTGTATAATAATTCAAAATACATTTCGATGAAAATTTTATAGATATTTTGAATAGAAAATATAACTGTCTTGATTGAACAAATAGTGCTTGCTTTTGAATGAAATGAAGAAGTATTCAATATAATTTCGTAGTTAAACAATTTAGAAAGCTGTTATTTAGTCTTTTTTTGCCAGTAAAACATGAGTGTTTTTCAGTTTGATAAGTAAGAAGAATAGATTCATCTATTGGAAGTTTTTTTAAAATTACTATTGATTTATGAAAATTTTCACAAGTAAGAGATATATATTTGATGAATTTTTTTCTATTTGTAGACGATGATCAATCAACAAGTCAACAATATACACCTGATCAGACACGTCTGATGTTACGTCAGCAATTAGATTATTATTTTTCACGGTAAGTTGTTTTATTTAAGACTAATATATTTTATTTTATTTATAAATTTTTAATTTTAGTGAAAATATGGCAAATGACTATTATCTTCAGTCTCAAATGGATCCTGTAGATAAATATGTTCCAATTAGTATCATAGCTGGTTTTAAATTAATTAAAAAAATAACGGAAGATACACAATTGGTAACAGATATATTGAAAGGTATATGTGAAATATATGAGAAAAATGTTTTTATTCATTTTTCTTTTCATCATTTTTTAGAATTGCCATCAGTTGAAGTTGATGCTGATGAACAAAAAGTGAGACCAGCTAGAAAACGTTGTATTATTATCTTACGTGAGATACCAGTAGATGTGAAAGATCCAGCGGTTAGTTCTTGATTAATAAATTAAAGTCGAATTGAATTATATGCTCATCTTTTCTACTCTTATAGGAAGTTTCTGAATTATTTGATAATGAACGCTGTCCTACAAAATGTCTTGATTGTGAAAAAGTGGGAGAAACAGATTGTTGGTATGTTACGTTTGCTTCTGAAGACGATGCCCAACATGCGTTTGTTTATTTGACAAGAGAAAATGTATCGATAAGAGGACAAAAGGTTTTGGTAAGTTCAATTTTTGTTCAGTTCAAAGAATTAGTTAAATGATTTTTGTTCTAAATTTAGGCAAGAATGAAAGCTCGTATGTGGCAAAAAACATCGTCACAATCTACAACAAATGCTTCTACGCCTATTTCACCGCCACCGTCTCATCCGAGTGACGGTATCACTCCACCTATACAACAGCCACAAACACAGCCGACATTTCAGCATCAACAACAACCACAACAGTCTCAAATACCACCATCCCATGTTACCCAAATATCATCATATCCATCTCATTCATTACATCTACATTCACATCAACAGCAACCGCATGATATCACTTCCACTTATATGCCAAATGCACAATCCTCAATAATAAGTAAATTTTAATAAAAATACACAATGCCTAGCTTTGAGAATTTTTTAATTAACAATTTTTATCTTGATCTTTACATTAGTAGAAGATTGTTGTTAAATTTTATTAGTTGCAACTATTCACAACATGTCCATACTACTATTATTTTATCTGTTACATTAGGTCCGATACCAATTCCAAATTTCCGTCCACAACATCCTGCTCAACAACAACAACCTCTACCATCTCAACATTCACCAGGTAAATTGGAGAAAGTATTTTAATCTTGTACAAAGAAGGACATTTATTTTATCTTTTGAAATTTAAGGTAATTATCCACAGTTCCACCAACATTGTTCGCCAAATATGGCAGCTGCAATGCCACACTTACGAATTTATCATCCTTTATCACAAAATCAACAAGCTCAACAGTCACTAGCATTTCCACAACAATCAAATATTTCTCCATATCCAACGTCTATTCATCAACCAACATCATTTGTAAGCATATATCAATATTTGGCCCCAAACCGATTTTTCTACGGTGCATATTTACTTTTCTTTTAGCATCCTATGTTTTCACCTTATATGTGGAGTGTATCACCGCCACAAACTTACGCCAATGATCCATACACAATGGTACATATATTGATATTAAAATAGAGCTAATTATATGTACATCGGGCCTGTACTTTTAACGAACTTGTTGCACTTTAGATTGTACCTATCAATTCTTCTTTTTTCAGAGTAGGGTTATTTCTTTTTTAAGCTTAAATATATATATATGTGTGTGTGTGTGTGTGTGTATGTATGGAGATGTTTAATGCTATGTGTGTGAGTGTGAGTATGTGTGTGTGTGTGTGTATGAACATTCTTCCCTGCTCTTGCCACTTCAGAGAGAACATTAAACGCTCTTTCTCCTCTATATTTGTTTGGAATCTACTACTAGATCACAATGCATGATATGCCTTTTTTTTGGAACAAACGAATTTATTGCATTTTTTTAATATTTTGTTCTAGCCTTATAACAGCGGTTCAAAGGTAAAACCAACTAGTATGTCCAGAGATTACGCTGTATCAACAAAACCACGGTAAACCAGAACGACTGCTTGACGTTTATGCCTATTCATTCTGTACTAACTGTTTCTAGTATTCAAAAGAAGGCAATTCGACCATCTAGACAAGATGCGTTGTCGATAAATAACGATCATTCATCAGATATCTGTGATTGCTCTCATCACGACACACAGTAAGTTCTATTTTAAAAGAGAAATGCGGCGATATATGTAGTTTAATTTATTCAGTCATAGTTCTGGTAGTGGTTCGCCTGTTGGTCCACGTGCTGAAGTTGTGGTAAATCGTAATGCTGATCCGACGGCTAGTCCTGTTTCAAATTCGTCATTACAACAAGTAACAGCATTTCCAGCCACAGCAAATCTTACGAATGAACATAATATTGCTGAAAAAATGATGGATCAATCTGATTCATTTCATTCAAACGATGACACGTAGGTGAAATAAGCATAGATTGATTTGATTATCACGTGTGATATTTTCTATTTCTTCTTCGCCTAGGCACTGCAATAACAGTAATCAAGCACGTTCGTCAACGTTAAATACGCCACTTTATCAAGAACATGACAAAATTGAAACATCCTATCAAAATAGTAATCATAATAACTCGTCATTTTATCCAAACACTAGAACAGTAGATCTCAAATCAAATGATACAGAGCAACCACCACAACAAGCAAAAGAGTCCTCGGTTTCTTCGTCACAACAAAATGTAGTGGAACAAGTACAAATATCGACACCATCAGGGGTAAGTAATAGAACGGGAATCTATCGTCATCAGAAAACTGTATTAAGTTCATTTCTAGCCTTCCACAACCTCTTCGTCGGTGCCGCAACCACAACGTTCTTTATCACAAAGACAATCATCACAGTTAAATATTGCTCAAGAACAACCACTACCAGT